CTATTCGTTTCTTTTTTTACTTTTATTCTGAATTATTTCAAAAGTTTAATGGCATGCTTTTGTCTGTGGTATATTTTCATTCGAGGACACAAATTAGTTTCACAACTTACTAATATCTTTTCAAATTGTCAAATAATGACTGTTCAATTCAAATATGAATTGTTGTAAATGTACTTACATCGGTGCAATTAAATGGAGAGTCACTTTGTTGTATATCACAATATGGCTGAAATACTGTCAACGTGACTTAACTTAAACTCACTCATTCACTTTGTAGTATGTTGTGAGATTGACTCAACAAAGGATATGTTCTGATAGTACCTCAATAAAAACATATCAAGATTGGAAGTAAAAACCTCGATCATTATGAATTAAGCCAGAGGTTACATCAAACAAATCCGGGACTATTATCGACTAAATATGTTTACCAATGTCGAAATACCATCAGCGTAGACGTAAGTACCATCTACAAAAATGTAAATGTTAGTATATGATGGTATATACACTGTGGCACTAATACATTTCCATACCCAGTATACACAATAGTTTCAGGTATCTTGGCCTTGACTGTCCTGTACAAACACAGACATCTTTAACATCTTCCTTGACACGCATTGACATTTAGTGAATGTAAAAATACGTTTGTTATCGTTATCTTAATACTTCATTCTTGTCTCTTTATTTTTCGCATCTACTTTCTGTTTATCTTTACAAACTGCAGATTGACTTAATATTGGGGCCAAGCAGAGAATTAAATGTCAATTCGTTATGACTAGAACCTCATGACATGTAAACATGATGGTTAAATATGGTAAGGTGAGCTAACAGGTGAACGCACACACACGTGTCTTCTTGATACCAGAGAACTACGTGTGATATTGTGCCTTTAAATTGAATATACATATTTATTAATTATGTAATATTGCATTTACAGTAATGGCTTTGAGTAAAAGTGTGAAACTGTCTTACCATTTGCGACCACTTTATGATATGGGTTTTGGGGGACTTGCTGAGAGCACATGGCTTGCCTTCATTGACCCGATATGTTCAATATTTTTAAGGCATTGTTCAAAGTTGCGTTGTATGTATATATGAATATGTTTGATCAACACTCACGTAACGGTCATTTCATCACATCAAACTCTAAGAAGGAAAAGGCTGAATTGCCACAGCACCTACACTCTGATGTACCGGTAACGACATCATTTATATTTTCAAGGAGGAACGCGCTAGGATGACTAAGTTTAAAGTTTCAACTGTTTCAAAGGGGAACATTGTTTGACAGACTAACTAATGAAGCCGACAAGACAATCAGCTTACAAAACAACTATAATAAAAGTTTAGATAATTGTCATATGATGTCCTTAATACTATTTTGTATATAGCGTATGTACCGATGTCAAACGTATAAGGGCATACAGACATATGTTGCTGTCCTGTAAACATCATGACGTCAAGAAAATACTTCAATGAATTAAAGACCAGCATGACATTATCTCCAGATATCATTAGAGTTTTATGCAAAGACAATGTAAAACCCCAGTGTCTTAGCACTTTCCTTCATTATATTATGAATTATATTATGATATGCTAATATACGTCATCATACGTCATCAATAACTATTGATAGCCTGCATCATGCTGACTGTTTCCGAGTTCATTTAGAAAATGGATACAAATGTAAAAACTTTTACACATATTTTATGGCACAAAATGTATTACAGAATAAGTCCAGTGAGACATAAAAAAATGTGAATATTTACAAGGGAACAATACAAACAAACCCGGGTCTCAATAATTCTAAGGGTCGAACTGGTAAAGCGATTCGGACATCGAATGTCTGAAAAGGTTGTCTGGCGTTAACACTTTATATGTACGGCTACGTTTATTATCTGAAGTTACAAGTGGTCTGCTCATAACGCCGAAATTTACAATAGAATAATGGCGACTTCACGTCCTTGTATTAACTCAGCGGTATTGCTGTTGTAAAACGATAGCAGTAAATCAATGAAATAAAAACAGATCTTCGCTGTTTCTATGCACATTACTTACATCGTGTGTACGTAAGTTTGCTTGCGTGGGATCCGCAGGTGGTGCGTTTGATTTATTGTCAGGCAACAGTTCTGAAGGATTTAAATGATATAGTGTCGTTTGGTAAAACATTAGATCACTGAGTAGCTTTGACATCTGTTCTAGCTGTGAGAGTCAGTCGATTCTGCCATTAGATGAGCGTGTTTGGAGTTATCTGTTCCCACGCCACGACAATATGTTTATTTATTTTTATATAGGATATGTATATAGGGCTCATATCCACGCAACTAGTGCATGCTCAAGGCGCTGGTATTTTTTCCCACGATCATTGGATGTCAGTCTCAACGGTACATCGTATTATCAATCTCAACTCCCTGGGGAGTATACAACTCTTGCTGCCACCAGACGCACGGAGTTATTGTGGCATTCTCATCCTAACGAGGTACCCATTCAGTGAACTTCACTGCACATTGCTGTACTCGCAACTAGGTGTTTGCATGTAATCATGTGGCCACAACCTGCTCATATACCAACGGATTCGTGGGTTCGTTTAAGTGCACAGGGTTATGACAACACGGAAAGAGTCTGCACACAAAGTGACTCCAAGGTTTCTACACCCGGTCACAGGTGGGCTCGATCCCGGCATCTTAACCTCGCTGGATCAGTAGCTTGGCGCCTTAGCCAGCTCGCCCACCGCGCCCCAAGGATCTCATGAGGAAGGGGGAACCCTCTGTTAATGAATGCTGCGTTACAAACAGCTCAAGGAATATAACCATAAAAAAAACATCGTCAGCAAAAATGTTCATGTCTGGACTTATCTATCAAAACAATTTCAAGTTGCATACGGGTACTTTTCGCACATTCTATCTGGTTTGCGTTTCGTGCTGGGGCCCTTTGGATGATGACGTTCACACTGCCTTTTTCCGGGCATTGGTTGCCCTATATAAGCTATAATCAACTAACAGCAAAAAACGTTCGCAAGGTGATAACAACGGAAAACAATTTCTTCCAGAGAGAAATATCGATCGACCAGAAACTGATAACCGAAAAACAACCATCTCAACAATTGTTGAAATGTTATACTTTCAAGTCGAAATGCCACGAAAGAACATTTCTATATAGAGATCTCCGGGCTATTGAAATTATTGAACATAAGAGGTTTTTTTGGTGTTTCGAAAAAAACAACATAAATTCTCCAAAGTCCATAGCCTAAAATGGAACTCTTAAGTAAAACTTGCAATCACGTTTCAAAGAACTTAAAAGATAGCAGTTGCTGGGGTAAACAGTATGTTGAACAATAGGCTACTATTATATCGTAATTGGTAAATACTAAATATATCCCTTGTCATATAAAATGAGATTAGTAAGTTTTAAAAAGTATATTCATATGACGAATTAGAAAAGAAACTATTTGTTTCCATCGGCAAATTTAATCAATTCTTCAAATACAATAAGTACTGGTATGAAAGCGGTATTTTAGAACTAAACGACAATCATCACTCTTTCACAAGAAGAACTCTGGATGGATATATTGCTTCCCTTTCGTCGTTAGCTTAAGTTCCTTTAGTGCGTTAATATTTAGTATTCATATATCGTTCTTGAAGAAATGTAAACCGAAATCCTTTGTGTCTCGACTTCAGAACGAAAGTATCACACGCGGAGATAACTGATTGTTGTGGAAGATACGTTAAGTTATCAAATATACCAAACTGAAGCTTTAGGACTCGTAGATCTGTCGTGGAGGCTGTTACTACTGGTATAACGTAACTGTGTTATATTTGATGTCATGCCATTTTTACTGCAAAAAGAGAATAGCATGATTTGTGGTGTTTTCCTTAAACATTGTTTAACTGGTGACAGGATAATTATTATCGAAATGTGTAAGATTTGACCTAGACATCATGGCGTTGATTCAGGCTTAACAACGACGACGTATAGACGACACTAAGCGATGGAAGAAAGCTTGGGGAATGTTGTTCCATGTCTGAACCAATTCAGCTGACGTCAATGGCTGATTCTGGGCTTGACGTAAACGTCGTTCCATTTCACCCTAAGCTTGCTCGATAGGGTACAGGTCCGGAGAAACAGCTGGCCAGGGGAGTACCGGAATGCCCTGCTGTCTCAAGAAATCTGTCACAACACGAACAACATCTGCACGGGCATTATCTTGCTGAAGCGTGAAGTTACGTATTAAGTCCTTGAATGACACATGAGGCCCAATGATGTCATCCGTGTATCGCAGACCTGTCATATTGCCATTGACAATGACAAGTTGTGTCCGACCATGAGATATGATGTCACCCCATACCATAACGCTACCGCTACCAAACTGTCGACGTTGAACAATGCATGCGTCAGCATACCGTTCACCTCGCAGTCAGTACATCCTTGCCCTGTCATCTGAGCTGTCCAGATGAAAGCTCAACTCGTGAGTGACCACATCACCATCCCAATCTTGTCTCCTGCACCGTAGATGCTGTCTGCACCGGGCAAGATGTGCCACTTCGTTTTGAGCCATTCCAGTAGAGACGCTGATTTTCTGTAAGCCGTGGAATGACACTGTTCAGGTTGAAATTAACGAGTGTTCCAAAACATTCAGAGGCAAGAGAAAAACCGTTCTTCAATTTTAAATACCAGTACTGTGAATTTCAGGTGTTACAAAGCATGTAAAAAGTGAGGAAGCTCATTCTGCACACAGTGAACGTGTCAGGCGCGATACGTGACATCAAACTGCATGTTAAGTGCTTTGCTACATGTTTATTTAGGGTTATTTTTATAACTTTTTAAATAGCTTTTATTTTATTGCAATTCATGTTATAACATAAATTGCAATAAAATAAAACTATTAAAGTTATAAAAATAACCCTCGTTTATTTAGGGTTATTTTTATAACTTTTTAAATAGCTTTTATTTTATTGCAATTTATGTTATGCAGTTATTTTTTTTCCGTTCGTATATTACAACACCCATTGTCCTGTTTATCATGATATACGTCTTAAATATTTTCCTTATTTACACGTGGGCACTATCACTCACAGAGAGACTCTTGTTAGAATGCTACAGTCCTCTGATGTCTTACTGTTAAAAAACCTGGCAAATTTTGTGAAAGACGCTGTCAGTCTTCGATCGTCATATCTTTAAAATTTAGGAAATGCAGCACCAATTGTAATTATTTGCATGTAATATGTACGTTGGCCTGAGGCCTTATTACTTGAATAAATAAATATAAAACACCCATCATACGTCGGGAATGTGTATAACGACAAGACATTAACTGATTATCGACCAGCAACATAAAACTCGGTATAAAAACACGCTGAAACATTACAGTTTGGGGGATCTTCAGTGACAGTGTACGTCCTGCTCTATACCGCTCCCGAGCCAAAGACATCCCCCATCTGCCAGCAACTAGATCAGCAATAGATCTTCCCGATGCATATACTAAGACGCATGCCAATGACAACTTCCTGCTGTTTTCTCACGGCGACCATGACAAGATCCTGACCTTCGCGACTGACGAGAACCTGCGACTTCTCTCCGAAGCAGATGTGTACTACTGTGACGGAACATTTGACAAGTGCCCTGGTGTGTTCACCCAGCTTTACACCATTCATGCATTTGTGCAAAATAAGATGTGCCCTTTGGTGTATGGTCTGCTCCCAGATAAAAAGCAGTCGACATATGAACGTTTCTTTGAAAATGTGAAGAATGTAGCGGCCTCTAAGAACATTGTATTGGATCCAGTGAGTGTGTTCACTGATTTTGAGTCAGCTGCTCAAAACGCCATCAAGATGACTTTTCAAAATGCCATATTAAAGGGTTGCTACTTTCACTTTAGCCAGAGTGTTTGGAGAAAAGTTCAGAAGCTTGGAATGGTAACTGAATATAAGGACAACCCGGACATAGGTCGTCTTGTAAGACGAGCGATTGCTTTGCCCCTGGTACCAGTGGACTGTGTGAGTGATGTGTGGTGGCAGGCCCTGGAAGATGCACCTCCTGGGGTGGAACAGTTTACAGACTATATGACATCGTACTGGGTGGAGGGTGACCATGGCAGGACCATGTGGAACCACTTCGCCACCGAAGGCCCCCGCACTACTAATCATGTTGAGGGCTGGCACAGGAAGCTTTCCTGTTTAGAAAACCATCCCAATATCTTCAAGATTATTGAATTCTTGAAAAAAAAGAACAATCTTACGTAGAGGCATCATGTATGCAATTAAGAGGAGGTGCCAAACCTCCTCGCAAGAAAGTTAAATATGTCAATTTAACAAACAGATTATGTAACATCAAACAGCAATTCTTGGCTGGCCATATGGATGTATATGCATATTGGGATGCAGTATCCCATTTAACAGGCTATTGAGGATTGTCATAGATATTGAATGTATTGTTAATTTTGATATTGTATGTATTGTTGAAATAAAAAAAAATGTACTTTTTTACTACTACATTCAAGGGGGGGATCTTATTTCACAGGGAACAAAATTTCAGGGACATCTATTGTCTTGAGGATTATTCCGCTTCAGTGACTTGTCCACCTAGAACAATAGGTGGTGGATAAACGAGAAGACCCCGTCTGGCCATACCTGATCATGTTTCCCTGAATACTAGTGTAACCCTGTTCCCATAGTATTACCGAAAGTATCTAACAACAGACTCTCAAAGTTCAATAGCCCAGTCTAACACTAGAATATTCCGTAATATTGCCGAATTAAGTCAAAATGAGTTGAATTTTTGTCATGATACTAATAAACATAATTTCATTCATTTGCAACCTCCAAAACATGGAAAAAACATGTACTTTGAGTAAAAGTAAATATTCTCGCCCATGGTCCAAAATGTTTTTTGCCCATGGGCGAGATTTGTAAATATCGCTCTAAATTAGCCGAATTAAGTCAAAATGAGTTGAAATTTGTGTCATGATGCTAATAAACATACACTCATTCATTTACAATCTTCAAAACATGAATTCTGAGCGAAACTAAACATTCTCGCCCATTTTCATTTTTTCATCCTTAACATGCATTCATACCCAACTACATGTTTAATTTGGTCAAATCCCTTGACGGAAAGTGCCCACAGTGCGGAGAGTTTCTGGACTTTTGTGAGTCCAGAATTAAATTGTGACGTGTTCTACAATATTACATCTAAAGTACTCTTAGCTGGTTAAAATGAACAAAATCATCTGTGATCTGGGCAATTATGATGTTAAAAAAATCTTAGCAATATCACGGAAGGTGTCTGGAGACCAGTTATGGGTTTCACACATTGTACCGCTGCATTCCAGATGAGGTTACCAGAGGACACTTGTACCACCGTGGTACCACCAATATTGATGACGCACGTGTGGTCACTCTGCCTAACAACGGGACAGGTTAGATGTAAAAACATGAAACAATTCCCGCACCAACAGTTGATAAAACTGTTTGCACTTCCAACGAGCAATTATAGACCGATAAAAATTCAACTACTGCTGTTGCTACTACTACTACTACTGTTACTGCTGCTGCTGCTGCTGCTGTTGCTTCTGTTTTTCAACTACTTTTGCGTTTAGACTGAAAATCGATATGTTTATTGATATGCCGTACCCAACGCGCCGTATTTATTGTATCACCTGGTTTTGTCAATGCCTGATGCGGGTGCTGGAGATAAAGTTATACAATAGCATATCATTTGGAGATAAGTCAAGACAAGCGCGTTGATGCTCAAAGAAAACGGTTATCTGTTCCACTACTGTTTCACGATGCAAAATACTATTGTGATCGAAGAGAACAGAAACAGATCTATACACACATAGTTTTAGTTGATAGGTCTCATTCCTTGTAAATCTATCTGTACAGCTTTCTCGCAAACAACGAACAGCTAATGCAATATGATGTACAGAAGATTAGTAGCCCGTATCTATTAATATCCACAGTCTGTGGTAGTTTTTACACAATAAGTCAAATTGATCATGAAACTTCAACTCATTTCAAATGCTGATTCGACAGAATGCAAAAACACCACAAAACAGTTCTGATTTATGTTTAATACAACGTGGCAGGTTAATGTCAAAGCTGTTTACTCGATATAAAATAATAAAACGTCTGGACATGGTCCTCCAGGATTACTAAATTTCCAAGGCTTTAAGTTGATATACGTGGGTCTAATGACATGTTCAGACGTACGCAGACTGATATATACGGCTTTATGTCAATATTATAATATTTACGCATCTACATCATTTGATTTTGAGGCCTTTGAAACAGTGCAAATGCCGTGGGAGGAGACTGTTATACGAGTACCCCCCCCCCCTCCCCCCCTCTCTCCTACTCCTCAGTGATATGCGCCCATCACCACCGCCGTTTTTGAAGACCACAAATGGTAACAACGATCTTCAGCTGAGTAGTCATCCTCAACATAAAGGCCGCATAACCCCAGAGGAAACTGACGAGACAGCTGTAGCTTTGATAATATATGTGTGAATGACACAACAACACATTGTCTTAAACAGTTCATCTAAACGTAGATATTGTGGGGGTTTAAGCAAACCGTTATCTTTAAGGTTCTTACATAAAGAGCGTTCTACTTAATAATATAACAAAGTTGCAGTTGAACATAAAAAGAAAACATCTATTTTCATCTCATGCAATGGTATGTAATGCAATAAGAAAGCACAATATTGCGACGACATTGAATGACTCCAGTGAAACTTTTTCGAGCGCTTCATCGGAACCTAGCTTTAAATACTGAGCTCCCCTCAACAAACAGTCATTATCTCATGTCAGGTATATCTTACTACAACAAACATGTGGAAACATAACATTTCACCTTAGAGTATACTGATAAATAATTATATATGTTGAGTTTTGGTAATTTGTATACAGTGTATGCAGAGATGAATGACCGGGGCCCGGTCGAGTTTAAATAGTTTACAAACCTTTACAAGTCTGCATTGTAATTAAATATTAGGTTTTACTAATACTCGTCGTAATCCCACAAAATCTACTCCAAAGAAACCCTTGAAGATCCGGGTTATGCTTGTCGTAAGTGACGACTAACGGGATCGGTTGGTCAGGCTCGCCGACTTGGTTGAGTCATGTCGTCGCATCCCAGTTGCGTAGATCGATGCTCATGCTGTTGATCACTGGATTGTCTGGTCCAGATTCTAGTATTTACCGCCGCCATAAAGCAGGAATATAGCAGAGTGCGGCGGTAAACATCCAATACTCCAAAGTAAAACCTGACAACTGGAGGAAACCGCTAAACCTGAACAGGCAGTCTTAATTTGAACCTGACATGAATGTCAGATATGATCATATTAGTATTGGTGCATGTTGAACCTGCTCTCTAAACACCATGGGTCCTCTGTACAATATAATAGATTTGTAAACACTGTGAAAAAAATAATATAGAAATGAACACGACGTTAAGCTTTCCAGCCGGTGAATGAATGAATGAATGACCGGGGAACATATCTGCCCTGCGCTAGATTCATTTAATCTTTGCCACCCCCCATCTTTGCTACCAATCCACCTGCCTTCCATTTATCCATTACTATGACCGCTAATTACCCCTGTCGTCCCTTTGTCCACGAGCAATCAGTGCGTATTACCTATCAGTTCTAATTTAACTCATGACTTCCATTTGTCCATTGTTATAACCACTCAGCACTAATTTACTACTGGCTTCCCTAGTTAAGTGCAAACCTTTGTTATCGTATTACCTTTACTGTTCTCACATGTGCTCATATATTCTCTCTGCCTCCTATCAGTGAGGTAAAGCATTAAAAGCATATGCACAAAAACGTTGTGTTTCCTTATAATAGAGAGTTTGAGATTTAAAGAATATCTCTTGTGTGCATCCCTTCTAAATGTCATTATAGATCATGCGTATATGCACGCCTGTCTGTTTGGATCTGAACTACAAGACAAAACACGATCCTGTTACTTGAACAATCTCAATTTATTCATGACTACCGACAGATCTCATTTCATCTGTATAACATTGTCATGTCGAGCACGTTTTGGTCCGACTCGTATAATTCTGATTGTCGACTCAGTACAAATAACACTGACCTCCTGTACAATGCCAGACTTTTCAGTGGAGCGAAGCGGTGAGAAAGGTGATGTTCAGTGAATATCGTGAATCGCTGTCTCATTACCAAAAACCCTATATCAATGCAGCTCAACCTGGAGGTCTCGCCCAAGTGATAAACGTAGAACCAAATCGTTTCTGTAGGTCAATTTAATTACCACAGCTAACAGGACTGGATAAGAACCATGTAGATTACTCGCAGTAATGTATTCCAAGGATAGAAAGAGATGCCAAACTCTTAAATAGACATGGGAAGCAAATGTTTCTTCGTGGATCTAGGCAAACATACAAACAACTATTGTCAATAGTTGCCGTTGCAACTGAGTTTCATATTTCCTCGGTGGATTGTGCCCACAAGGATACTGGATCTGAACCTTCCATTATAGTAAATCGAACAATGAAAACGAACGAAAGGCAAATAAGAAGCAGGGGTTACTCTGAAATAACTTTATTTTACAAAATTGTAAATTATATCGAATTTAGGTTTCCTGAAGTCCTGTACGATAACGCCCTGAGAATACATCACTACAGGTATGGAAGAAGGAAGTAGATGTGAACTCCGACAACGATCCTTTAGGACGTCAAATGTAAGATGGGAGGTTTCAAACTTGCGTTATGCCAAATTCAGATGTCTGGCCAAATTCAGCCGTCGCGGGCGGTTTTGGCGCACACGTCTCTCTGGTATGTACCACATTGTTCATTTGGAAAGGTTTGGCACCATTTCTGGCCATGGTACTGTGAGGATGTTGGCAGAGGTGAGCATTGACGTTTCTTGCACGATGGGCACGATGTTGTCGTCCTGAAAGACGCCGCCCCACTCGAGTAGCCTGATGAAAGTATGCAGCATTTGATTCGCCGCTGTGCTGGATTTTGTAGAGCTTCAGGTTGACCTGGGGTCGCTTATCGATACTTTTGGTTTGTTGGTAGCTGCTTCACAGACTGAAACGTTGAAGGTGTTGGCCGCTGCACGCTGACTTCTTTAAGTTTTCGTTGTGCGAACAGCCCGTAGACACATCGCGGATTCATACACAAACAATGACAGTAAATCACGACTATCTGATTAGCAGAATCAATACCACTGACAGAAATAATGGTCCACAGAGATTAATCGACCTTCCTTGTGACGTGACAAAATTAGGAATGACTCCCACGTATATGGCACAAGTGGGTGGAGGACATGCAAACTGTTGCATGTGTTTGGATGTTAAGGTGCACAGACACAAACAGGCGTCAACATTTGTCTTTGTTTCAGTACTTCCAGTAATTAAATGCATTCATGTATGAAACTGCTCACTTTGTTTTGAAGAGTAAAATATAACGAATGTCATTTGATTCAGTCTTCCGAAGAGATGATGTTGAAACATCAACAAAGTATTCAAGATGGTACTTGATTGGTGACATTCCGACAATCCCTATGAGACCATTACATACTTGTGTTGGAGAAAGTAATACATACAACTATATTTCCGAACATAATTTCCCATTTATTTCTATCGATTTATCATAGAGGCGGTATGTACATGCTATCAAGGTTTGCATGTGTATTCATAAAGAGATGCAACGACTTTCTTATTTATTCATTGGAATATTATGTTCCAAATGTGGACGATACACCGATGTTTAACGCCGTTTGGAACATACATTCGCCTGTTTGTATGATACTTAAATGTTTGCGAACAAATTTAAAATGGGGCGAGGCGAAACCGTTTGTCGCTGGATGAAAT